ATCTATCTATCTATCTATCTATCTTTCTTTCTTTCTTTCTTTCTTTCTTTCTTTCTTTCTTTCTTACCTTTCTCTTTTATGCATCTGTTGTATAGTTTCAGGTAGAGGTCGTCCAAAACTCTCCGGGAGGTAGAGAGTGGCAAAGGCAGCCACAACAGCCAGAGTCCCCAATGTAATGTAAGGAAGGTATTTAAAGTATACACCTAGAAAAGGAGAAGGGGAAGTTTAGATAGGTCAGCAACAGTGCGGCTGCTTAATAAATATAAACTAATGGTAATAATTACTATCAAAACCTAGTTTACTCACTCAGCTTTAACAAAAAGGGTGTAATGCAGCTTCCCGCTCTGGAAACTGTGGTGCATGTTCCTGTTGCTGTGTTCCTGAGCACTGTAGGGTAAAGCTCTGATGTGTAGGCAAACATCAGGGAAGTACCAGTGGTAATAGCATATTTACCCAACATCTCCAGTGCAACAGATATAATTGACAGATCTAAAGAATGAGGAAAGAGCTTGTTTTTTAACTTAATACAACAGGATAGAAACACATACAAACTCTGATTAAGTCTGTAGCACTTGATTAACACATATCCAGTGTTTGAGTCTGTATCATGCAGCCACTTTCTCCTCCAGTAACACTTTATGCAATCAGGTTACAAAACACATGCTTAAGTAATGTAAACTAATGGCTGACTCGTGGTGATTTAATGCATGATTTAATGCAGGACATATAATTTATTCCTGTTGCTTACTATTAAGAAATGATCAAGTCATTATGAATTTATATAATCAGTTACTACCTAATCGTAAAATCGGATAATGTCTCTGAATTTCACCACATGGACCATTACTTTCCACTAAGAATATTTGTGAATAAAGGCCCAGGCGTTCAACAGGGAAATGAGGGGATGCAGAGATGTGCCTGTTTGAATTAGGAGATTTTAATTATTATTTTTTGGTTTGCTCCTTAGGCAAAAAAGTCTAGTATTTTTTAAGTCTAGTATTTTCTTCCTGCTTACGTTGAGGCACCAGTTGAATTAAGAACAGTGACACTGCTCCAAGGAGCAAGGTACAGATGACAGACAGTCGTCGTGGAAGGTATCGCAGAGCCAGCCAGCTGGAAATGTACGCTGGTATCTCGACAGCTGCTGAGATGAAACAACTGATGTAGGGGTCAGCATGGAGTTGAGATGTGTTGAAGGACAGGCTATAGTACCCAGTAGTCAAAGTGAAACTGGGTAAGACAAAGATGACAAAGATGATGATGGAAAAAACAGTATACATGAAAAGTATTGATTGATGCCACCAATACTTTGTGGGGGCAAATTATGACCATTAGACCTAAACTCTTCACTCCTAACACACACAAGAACTGAATTATGAATCTCACTGAGACTTAATGGTGAGCAATACATTCACACACTCACCTTACCAAGCAGAGAATGAGCGTTGTGTTTCTGATGCTGCTCTTCCTCAGCAGGTCGAAGACACTGTGGTGTTCTTTAGACTCTGTCTTTTTAACCTGCAAGATAGATATAAAATCTCAAGTCTCAGCCTTGTATCTTTTCTCAGCAGCCTAATATACTGGGGATGTGCTTAAAAAATAAAAATAACAATAAACAAGTGATTTTCAGGCACAAATACAAATGTGTCTATAATATCCTGATTCTAGATGATGTTCTGTCATGATGTTTTGAGAGAACATGACATGGTTTATAAAATAGCAAATTTATTGGCTCAACATACTTTAATATATGTCCCAAAATACCTGAGTGAGAATGTGTTTTGTATCTATATACATCTAATTTCATTTTTGTTTAAAATATTCTAAACTGTTTAACCTGAGATCAAATTACAGGGGGTAATTCGATGTCTGTAGAATTTGCTTTTGAAATGACTAGACTGATTCAAATAACCTCTAGTGGGTCCTGGGTGTTTTGTTGACACCCAATGCAACACACCTGAGAGCGATAAGATAATTGTTTGGTAGTGAGTGCCAACAAGGTGCAGGATTTACAGAATTTAAGTTCCCCAGGATTAGGTTAATTTATTATTTTTTTTTAAATAACATTTCTTGTTGATTACATGCTTTTTCACGTTTCCCTCAAAATGGGCAAGAAGGGAATGTCAAAGGAATCATCTCCTTCATACATTTCTAGTTTTCAGCGTTAACTATAAATTTATGTCCGAGACGTTTTTCAGACTATTGAGTGTCTTCAGCTTCAGCTTTGTAGCCCTGCACGATTTATGTCAAAGTCAACTTACACTGTAATCTTTAAAGATGACCCTCGGAGCCTGAACTTTGTTCCACTTAGCAGCCTTTCTCACTATGGCCTCTGCCTCCTCCATTCTTCCCTGAGAAAGCAACCACCGAGGAGACTCTGGGATGAACCTGCCTCAGTACACAGTAGACAGAGAGGTGCAGTGTGGATCAAGGATAGCTTTATTTTCCCTGAAGGGCAATTTGTTGCACAGCCAGCAATAACTACATAACCACATAACCACCAGAGAAAAGTAAATCAGTCATTAGTCATGATCAAAATGTACCTTTTTCAAAATGGCAGGTCTAAAATCATATAATCAAGTCGTACCATCTGAATGCAGATTACAGCGCCATATAATCATCCTACACTTTAGTTTAACACTTGTATTGGTAGGCATTTTCTGTCTTGTCTGTGGTTTCAACTGGCGTTTAACTTGAAATTGAGTTTTAAGCAACACTGAGAGAGCATTTCACTGTTGGTTATGACCCATGTCTGTTTTTTTTTTAGGAAATGTAGTCTTGGCCAATTATGTAGTCAGTCTGCAAATCAGCTTTAAGATTTTTTTTATTACCATAAATACCCAAATGCACTAAACTCTCCCATTGTAAGAGACAAAAAACAAAACAAAACTGGTAATTCATGGTAAGTTTTCTTGTAGTGAGTGCAACCTACCACCAGAGGGGGAGATAGGCCAGGCCAGGCACAGACAAAGCCAACAGGAGAGATTTCCAATCCCTTAAAAAGTAAGCGAAGAGAGGCAGCATCATGTAGCCAACAGCAAAGCCTAAACATGTGCCCATAGATGAGTAAAGGACTCTTACATTGCTAGTCAAGATCTCCGCGCCTGCACACAGAGATAAAGAAAATACAAAGGAAGGGATAAGTGAACAAGTAAAAAGCAAGGAGATATGTACAGAATATTTTTAAACAAATTGAGTTATCTGTATCCACATGTATTCAAAATCTGACAAATGTGTGAAAGTATTGTGGCAGTATTTATAGAATGTTCACATGTACCCAGCACTAAAGCAGCTACAAAGTTGGACATCTGTCCCAAACCATTGATGAACAGGAGGATGGTGAACATAATCCACGAAACAGAGAAGACTTGAATAAAGGTAAAAACCGTTTGAACTGCCATGGTTGCAAAAAGAACAGGTTTCCTTCCAAATCTATTAAGAGAAAATAAAAATTAGACATAAATTATCACCAAAGTACATTTAATGAACACAAAGGGCAATTGTTTTTCTTCTACACAACTGGCAAATGTGCTCAACAAAATATATTAAATGCACTTTAAAATGATTTGGATAAAAAAGTCAAATGTTATATGGTATTCCAAGGCTAAATATAGTATAATCACATGCCCATGTAGGAGCCAATATTGAAATAACTACTGTTTATGTAGTAACCGTGTAGTAACCCAATAATGTAATTGTTTTTCCATTCTTAATAAAAAAGTCATTAATGTAATAACTGTCCAATTTTTTCAAGAAGTTATTACATTATTAGCCTGGTAAAAAAAAAAATCATAACTAACTGGAGTCGACAAAGTAACAATATCCTCATACGTTTTATGTTAACAACCTGACTCCTGAAAGGTTATATGATAATGTATGACCAAATCAGAATCCTTGCCCTATTTACATCCTTGGCTATTTGAATACAGTCTAAAACCGGAGCAAATAATGAAAACACAATAAATTCTTATTTTCACGTTATCATACACTAATGAAAACATACTTAGGAATATTACATTCCATGTCTGACAATATACCCTTCTAAATCTTATACACTGGTCCTTTCAGAGGTTCAAAGTTGCCAGATAATATTGCCGGTTTGGTTGATAAACTTATTACACTTTGTTTATTATTTTTTTCATGGAAATAAGTGGCGGTCTTTTTTATCTGAATACACAGCATCTTGAAGGAGCTATAGATGACATATTATACAATACAAGAGTAGGCTAATTGTCTGTGTTTGCAAACATGCGTGCTCCCTCTTCATTTGGTACTCAAATGGCGAAGGGGTAGAAAGCAGAGGCGGAGAAGTAACACAAACAAATGAATAGTCTTGATTTGTAGAGAGAAAGAGATGAGGTATCAAATAGCACTGACAAAATCGCAACACAGCACCACTTAATGTTATATTACATAATATAATAATAATTTTTTTTGTTTTGTTTTGTTTTGTTTCTAACCTGTAGCACTT